AAAGTGAGGTTATGTTAACCATTTTATTTTTCTAATTTAATATTTTTCAATATTGAGCGATATTGAGAAAAGTAAATCTCACAAAATTACAAAGAAAAATAATTTCCATTAAAAAACGTTTTAAAATTTATTTATTGTTCCTTTTTTAAATTATTTTTCTGTACTTTTTAGACTTTTTAAATGGATTTTTGTTATTGCGAATATGCGAGCGCCATCTGTTAGATGCAACACAAAACATTAGTTTGATTTAATGCAATCAGGGAGGACGTCAGTGTTTTCGGTCACAAAATTTATATGGGAATTCCTATAATAGACCACGGCTATGGGCCCCACGTTCATTGCTCACAATTTGCTATGCAAATGACAGTGTTCCAGCTATACGATGCATTCAAATGGATGTATACCAAAGTGGAATCACATTTGTGTAACGAACCGTACACAAAAGAATGCATACAATATAATATATATCATACAATTCAATACATACAAACAATTAATTCATTCATTCAAACATTATAATTCATGCATCAGCATAATGACCGATTTGACAAACAATTCATTCTTATTAAAACAGTTGCAATTACAAAGTAACCCAAACCTGTTGTGTTTTATATTATTATTAATCCACAGCTCGTTGGATAATAGGTAAATTAAATATATTATTCATTTGGTCCTTCGAATCAGTCGTGAATTGAGTTGAAATGGCTGAAGTGCAAAGTTTATTACAAAAGCAGAAACGAAGCCTCAAGCAATTCGCGCTTATTTTGGAAAATTACAATAAAGATCCAAAAGTGCGCAAAGCGGTACCGGAATATTTTCAGAAAAAGTTGGATATTTTGGAAAAATGGTGGATAGATTTCGATAAAGTTAACACCGAAATAGAAAAAGCGGATACTGCCGAGTGTGAAAACCAGCCTTATTTTGTATCGAAATCATATGAGAACGCAAAATCGGAATACATTAGGCATCGTTCCGAGTTGCAGACCCAGTTAAGCAAGTTTAAACAAAGCACATTGGTATCGGTTGAAAGCAATAACGGTGAAGACGGTGAAGACGGTGTATGGGACCATTGGACCAGTGTAAGTATCATTAGATTACAACAAGAGCAAATTGAAGGCGAAAACAATGATCTTATTGAAGTGAACGACGATGAACCGGCGGAAGTTAGTGCGTTAAAGTTTCAGTATAATGAATTAAAATCGTCATTACAGTCAGCTGAAAAAGTGAATAGTGATGAATCGGCTGGAATTGCAAGTGCACAAACTGAAAATTTAAAGCAAATTTGGGCCGAGTTTCGCGTTGCATTTAGAGCATTAGCAGTGTCGAGTAACAAAGTGCATTTACAAGACATTGACTTTTTACAAGTGCAAGAACAATACGTACAAGTGTGTGGCAAGTTGAACGACATTGCAAACGACGCAAAAAAGAAAGCGAATGTTGAATTGCCGAAAATTAAATTGCCCGAATTTGATGGGAAGTCGAACTGGATTGCATTTATTTCATTGTTTGACAAAATTGTGCACGAAAATAAATCGCTTGATAATGGAATTAAAATTCAATATTTAAAATCCAATGTGAAAGGTAGTGCAGAACAGCTCATCGGTCACATTAAACCATATGCATCAAATTACATGACGTGTTATGAGTTGCTACGAAAGCGATTTAATAATAAACGTATGAATTTAGCCGCGTTGTTAGACAAGATGATTAACTTTCCGAAAATTGAATTTGAATCGGGTGAAAAATTGAGAGCATTGCATGACACCATTTGGGAATGCATGCTGCAAATTAATAACATGAAAGTGGATACAGCAAGTTGGGATCCACTGATCAATCATATAATGCTACGCAAGTTAGACGATAAAACAGTGAAACATTATGAGTGTCAGCTTACAAATGTGCGTGAAACGCAAAAACTGTCCGATTTTTTGTCGTATATAGAAATGCGGTTCTTAGCATTGGAATCGGCAGAAGGTAAATTTCCGACAAAAAAGAAAGCAATCGCAGTGAAAAAAAGCGTCGAGAAAAAGTGTCATTATTGCAATGATGAACATTATTTGGGAAAGTGCGCCGCGTTCCAAAAATTAGAAGTGCAACCGCGAATTGATTTTGTAAAAGAAAAACATTTGTGTACAAATTGCTTTGGTGAGCATAAAGTATCGGAATGCAAAAGCAAATATACATGTTCGAAATGCCAAAAAAAGCACAATACATTGTTACATTTGGACGATTTCAAGCCGAGATATACAAAACAAAAAATGTATAGTGAACCAAAAGCTGCACTAGCGTCAACAGCATTGACAAGTATGATTACGGTGAATGATGAAGATGCGGGAACAGTGTCAAGTGTGCAGTCGTTAATATCGACGGAAAGATTTGCGAATTTACTCGGTACAGCAATGGTACAAGTTCAATCGGGTTTCGGTGAATGGTTATTCATGAAAGCTGTAGTTGATAATGGGTCACAAAGCGCGATGATTCGAGAAGAAGCGGCTCAAATACTTAAGCTGGTGTTTGAACGTGTATATGCACCAATCGATGGGTTTGATGAAACGAAAAAAATCGCCAGTAAACAAGTGAAGTTAAGAATTAAACCGCGATTTGATTCTGCATATGAGCTAGAAACGGAGGCGCTAGTGTTTAATAAGGTGACTAATTTGAAGGTGTTTAAAGGAGATTTACGCGAATACGAACATTTGCAGAATTTACAATACGCCGATCCTACAGTTAATAGTGACAGGCCAATTGATTTGTTGTTGGGAGTCGCTGAATATGGGGACTTTTTGAAGTGTGGTTTAATCAAAGGTCCAAAAGGAACCCCAATAGCTCAAAACACAGAATTTGGGTGGGTTATCATGGCAGCCCAAAACCTGAAAAAAACACCAGCAACGCTAACAACATTGATATCGAATGTGAACATTGATGAAAAATTGTCCGATTTTTTCGCGTCTGAAGATTTGGATGACGAGGAAGACGTGGAGGAATTGAGCGCAGAGGAAACATATTGTGAGGAGTTTTTCGTGAAAACTACAGAAAGAGATGAAACGGGATATATTGTTCGAATTCCATTTAAGAACAGGGGTGAACCAGACCTTGGCAATTCGAGAAAGGCCGCTCTTGCGATGTTGTTCCAAATGGTAAAACGTTTCAAAAATAACCCAAATTTGAAAAAACAATATTGTGAAGCAATAGATGATGCCATAAGGCAAGGACATTTAAAAAGAGTGACGACTGTTCCGGTCGATGCACATTATTTGCCGCATCATGCGGTTTTCAAAGACAGTTCAACCACAAAATTGCGAACTGTTTTTAATGCGTCACAAAAGACCAGCAATGGCAAATCTTTTAATGAGCAAGTGGCTGTAGGTAAAATTTCCCAGCCAAAGATTTTTAACCTGCTGATGCGCTGGAGAAAGTACAAAATTGCGGTAGTTGCGGACATAGAAAAAATGTACAAGCAAATTCGTATCGCCGATGATCAGCAGAAGTATCAAATGATTTTGTGGAGAAATAACCCGAGTGAAACAATCGGGGAGTATGCACTCACGACGGTAACCTTTGGCGTGACTCAGTCCCCATTCGTGGCGATTCGTGTGTTAAAACAATTGGCACACGAAATAGCGGAAAAATATCCATTAGCTGCAAAAGCGATTTTGGAAAGTTTCTACATGGACGATTTTTCTGGTGGAGCGGATACTGTCGAGGAAGCAAGTGAGGTGTGTAGACAATTAAAAGCGGGCCTAAAAAGTGGCGGATTCAATATAAGGAAGTTTGGTAGTAATTCAAATGAATTGATGAGTCGGATTCCAGTAGAAGACAGAGAAATCGCCAATGAAAACATCATCAAAGCTTTGGGCTTGGTATGGAGACCGGAAACTGACATGTTCACATATAAGTTAAATATGCAGCTTAGTTCGTTAGCGACAACAAGACGTAAACTTTTTTCGGAAGTCGCGACGTTATTTGATCCACTCGGGTTGATTGCGCCCATAATGACAAAAGCAAAAATTTTAATGCGTGAAGTATGGTCGTTGCGTAAAGACGGTAAACGCTTCAGCTGGGATGACCAGTTGCCAAAAGAAATGTCGTTAAGTTGGGCAAGAATAAAAAGTGAACTCCCGTTAATAACGAAATTGAATATTCCGCGTTGGATTGAAACGACGAAAAACACAAAAACCGAACTACACGGGTTTTGTGACGCGTGCAATGCAGCGTATGCGGCTGAAATCTACATAAAAAATTGGAGTGAAAGCAATGAAATAAGTGTAAATCTATTGGTAGCAAAAACAAAAGTGGCACCAATTGGTAAAAAAACGTTGACAATCCCGAGATTGGAGTTATGTGGTGCAGTTTTGTTGGCCAGATTAGCAAGAATTGTCATTGACACTATGAAAATTGATTTTGCGGATGTAGTTTTGTGGACAGACTCAAAAATAGTGTTAGAATGGTTAGAGGGCAATCCAAAGAGATGGAAGTCATTTGTGGCTGCAAGAGTGCTTAAAATAAAAAAACAAAACACAAAATGCGGTGTGGCTTCATGTAAGCGGCATAGACAATCCAGCGGATTGCGCCTCAAGGGGTATATACCCAAGTGAACTTGCGACACATAAATTGTGGTGGCACGGGCCAAAATTCTTGTTACAAGACGTAGACAAAACGCCGGGAAAAGTGGATTTCGAAACGTTAATAGACACAAATCGCGAATTATCGATACTCAATGTGACAGTAAAAGAACCAAACATATTAGCTCAAGTTTCATCGTGGTTCAAATTACAAAAAATTATGGCTTATGTTGTGCGTTTCGTTGAAAATGCCAAAAAAGACAAAGTAAAAACGAAAGGTGAGCTCACGGTAAGAGAGCTAAAGCGCGCTACGGTCGTTATTTTGAAAATAGTGCAAAAGCAACATTTCAACGAAGAAATAAAGTGTTTAAAAAATAATAAAACCATAAACAAGAAAAGCAAATTGTTCAAGTTAAGTGTTTTTTTGGACAGCGACGAGTTGTTAAGAGTTGGTGGTCGTTTGAAAAACGCGAATATTCCATTTAACGCACGTCACCAAATTGTAATTCCAAAAAATGATCCAATTTCAATACTATTAATCAACGACGTGTCGCACACACAAAATGGCATTGCACGGTGGACCGAAACTGACGGAATCAATGATGCGGCAAAATTATTGGCTTATTGACTCTAAATCGACGATTAAAAGGGAAATCAGCAAATGCATGGTGTGTGCCAGAAATTCGCCGAAAAAATTACAACAAAAAATGGGAGATTTACCTGAGTGTCGCGTTAATCAACCATTTAAAGTTTTTATGAATAGTGCAATAGACTTCGCCGGCCCATTTATGATCAAAACATCGACATTACGTGCCAGCAAAGTGCTAAAAGCATACGTGTCGGTATTTGTGTGTATGGCGTCGAAAGCAATACATTTAGAGCTTGTAAGTGATTTGACAGCCGATGCCTTTATCGCCGCCTTGCGTCGTTTCATAGCAAGAAGAGGTAGGGTGTACAACATATACTCGGATAATGCTACGAATTATGTAAAAGCTAACAGAATTTTAAAAGAACTGAGCCAGTTGGAGCAGGAAACATTTCAAAAACATGCAGATCAAGAGCTCTTGGCGAATGGAATAGAATGGCATTTTGCGCCACCAGATAGCCCACACCATAATGGGTTGGCGGAAGCTGGTGTGAAATCGATGAAATTTCATCTAAAAAGAGCGTTGGGTGACAGAGTACTCACATTTGAAGAAATGAGCACGCTATTGGGCCAAGTTGAAGCAGTGGTAAACGCAAGGCCAATATGCGAGATGAGCCAAGATCCAAATGACTTCTCAGCTCTGACACCATCGCATTTTCTAAACCTGGTTCCAATTGAATTGCCTCCAGATACTGACTACGTCGACATGAAGTCGAGCTACCTGACAAGGTGGCAGTTGGTTCAAAAAGTACACCAGAATTTTTGGAATGGGTGGAAGCGTGATTACTTGAACCAACTGCAAGTCAGGCAAAAGTGGAATACGGAAAAGGCAGACGTCAAGTTAAATGATCTTGTCATGATCAGAGACGACAATCTGCCATCCACGAAATGGGCAACTGGAAGGGTGGTTGCCACACATCCCGGTGAAGATGGTCACACAAGAGTGGCATCGGTCAAAACAGCACATAATACGTTCAAGAGAAGTATTACCAGGTTGGCACCGTTACCGCTTATGACTACGTTATTACTCATTTTTTCAACGCTATCGAAAACCAATGCGGTGTCACATTTCGGAAACGATTCACCAGCTTTCAAGATAGAAAACTTTGAGCATCGACCGGGCATGTACTTCGAAACAATTTCAAAAA